TCTGGGTTCTGTCCCTGAGCTCTTCAGCTCTACCACTTTAGCCATAGCACTGCTCAGATCTCAGCCTCCTTAGTAGTTAGGATTACAGGCATGAGCCACTAGTGTCCAGCAAAAGAAATATTTTTGCAACAAGTGTTTTTATGTCTTACTACATGTTCAAGTTTTCTTCTGACAGACAGTGTTCTTTTTGATTAACCATTTTTGAGAAAGTTGAATGAAGTCTGATAGCTGCTTCTTGCCTGCTGTCCTGCAGGATTACACAAAGGCAAGTTTAAACATCATTTTGCCTCTCAGCTCCTCATGATTTCCTTTGTTCATGTTTAGTTTATTCTCAGTGAGTAAGATTCACCCAGGGCCTACCCACTATAGATGTCTTAGAGAAAACAATTTGTTTCTACATCAACTTATTTTTCTTCACCTAATAATGACTATAAACCCCCTTCAATCATGATGTAATTTATCTACCCATTGGGGCAGGGAGGATCAGTGCACTCTTATACATGTGCTCTACACCACTAACTGACCAATAGCCTTCTTAAATGAAAAACTTCCTAAGGATGTAGCTCAATTGTACAGCTTTTATGTAGCATGTGTAATGCCCTTGGCTTGATACCTTGCATAAAAAAATTTAAAAACCTTTCATATCATTACTGACAAGATTTACTTATTCTTCCTTTATGCCTACTGGTTTCCAACATATATTTGTTCAAGTACAAATTTATTTTTTTTGTGCTACTCTCATGGTTTAAGCTCAGAGCCTGGATGCTGTCCCTTAGTTTTTGTTGTTTTTTTTTGCTGAAGGCCAGCATTTTACCACCTGAGCCACAGCTCCACTTGCAGCTTTTTTTAATTTATTTTATTTTATTTTATTTTATTTTTTTGGTCGGTCATGGGGCTTTAACTCTGTCTGGGCTTGGGCGCTATCCCTCAGCTCTTCAGCTCAAGGCCAGCGCTCTACCACTTGAGTCACAGTGCCACTTCTGGTTTTCTAGTGGTTTATTGGAGATAAAGAGTCTCATGGACTTTCCTGCAGGGCTGGCTTTGAACTGCAATCTCAAGCTTCCTCAGATCTCAGCCTCGGGAATAGCCAGGATTACTGGCTTGAACCACTCAAGGCTAGCACTCTACCACTGGAGCCACAGTGTCACTTCCCACCTTTTCTGTTTATGTGGTGATGAGGAATGGAATCCAGGGCCTCATACATGTGGAAGGCAAGCACTCTACCAATATGCCACCTTCCTAGCCCCATCTTTCCACTATCCTTGTCCCATCAATTTTAGTAGTCTCTATTTTTTGTGTTCTTTTTCCACTAACAAACTCTCCAACTAGTCACAAAACTTCTGATCATGTTTTCCTTTGAATCAATAAAAACTGCTCCCTATACAGGATTCCTAGTCACACAAAAGATGCCTTTAAAAAAACCTGATTAAGGACAGGCACTGGTGGCTCACCCCTGTAGTCCTAGCTACTCTGGAGGCTGAGATCTGAGGATCACAGTTTGAAGCCAGCCTCAATAGGAAAGTCAGTGAGATTCTCATCTATAATTAATCACAGAAAAGCCAGAAGTGGTATGATGGCTCAAGTGGTAGAGCACTAGCCTTGAGCAAAAGGAGCCCCAAGGAGAGGACCCAGGCCCAGAGTTCAAGTCCTAGGACCAGGAAAAAAAAAAAAAAGGCATCAATGGCTCACGCCTGTAATCCTAGCTAGCTAATCAGGATGCTGAGATCTGAAGATTACAGTTCAAAGCCAGCCCTGGCAAGAAAGCCCATGAGACTCTTGTCCCCAGTTAACCAGCAAAAACCAGAAATGGTGCTATGGCTCAAGTGGTAGAGCACTGGCCTTGAGCCCTGAAGAACTCAGGGACAGTGCCCTGACCCAGAGTTCAAGCTCCATGACCCACAAAAAGAAAATAGAAGTTCACTGAATAGGGCAAAAATAAATTATAAAAATTTCTTTCTTGTTTTGTTGTTAAAGTTGTTACTGTTGATGTTATTTGTTTTTGTTTTGGCTTTTTGTCAACTGAGGAGAGCAAAAGGAGATGCAGAAATGGAGGAAGTATGAACAAATACTGTCATTGTATTCAATATGTAAAAAACGAACTATGCAACTTGTAGTTAGGCACAGGAGGGGAAAACTGGGAAAAAGCAAAGGAAGGGGTGACATTGTCCAAAGAGAAGTGTACTCATTACCTGACTTAGGGAATTTTAATCCATCTGTATACCATCATAATAATAAAATTGTTTTAATAATTTTTTAAAAGAATGCCTTTCCATTGGAACTCTAGCTTCATGGCAGGGCTGAGGGCTTAGGAGAAGAAAAGCCAGGGACTCATGCCTGCAACCCTAGCTACTCAGGAGGCTGAGATCTGAGGACTGCAGCTCCAAGCCAGCCTGAGCAGGAAAGTCCATGAGACCCTTATCTCCACTTAACCACTAGAAAACCAGAAGTGGGGTTGTGGCTCAAGTGGTAGAGCACTAGCTTTCAGCTGAAGAGCTGAGGGACAGCACCCAGGCCCTCAACTGACAAAAAAAACAGAGAGCGAGAGAAGAAGAATGTAGATTTTATTCCCTAATCACTCTCTAAGCTTGACATTTTGTTTTTTTTGTTGTTTTTTTTTGGGTCCAGTCGTGGAGCCTGAACTCTGGGCCTGGGCGCTGTCCCTCAGCTCTTCAGCTCAAGGCTATCACTCTACCACTTGAGCCACAGCGCCACTTCCGGCTTTTTTCTTTTTGCTTATGTGGTGCTGAGGAATCGAACCCAGGGCCTCAGGCATGCAAGGCAAGCGCTCTACCACTGAGCCACCTTCCCAGCCCAAGCTTGACATTTTGTTTAGATACATTTTCTTCTGCTGTAGCAGTCCTGACACCTATCACATAGAACTGGTTTCCTTCAAGATCATGACTCAACCTTTCCTTTGATTTAACTAATGTGACTTCTGACATTCTCTGTACCTCTTTCACTCCTTTACTCTGTATCCCTTTACTAGCTATTCAGTCTGTACTCTATGTGTTACATACTGATTTGTACTTACTAATAATCTCTGGTTGCTCCAAGCAACTTGACCTTAGTCAAGTAACTCAAAACACTTCTTTTTTCCTTACATATACCGCAGACCTTGCTGCCATGCCTATTTTCATTAATACTGACTGAGCAGAATAAAACAATACCAACAACTTGTGTACTTTCCCTTATGTGATGAGTATATTATGATGCATACAACTAAAATTTAGACTTTAGACTTTTCTAGCATCCTTTCACAACAGAGCAGTCATAGTGCAACTGTGGATTCCTTGGCAGTTGAGCAGATGGACATCATCACAGAAAAGAATGCACAGACAACTTTCCCCTCAATAGTTCAACCAGCACAGTGCTTCACCAGCCAAAACCTACTGTTTCAGTTACCTGAGACCCTTACCAGAGACACAGACACTGGATACCAGACTCTCTGGAAGAGGACCCTGAAATTATTTTTACTTTTAAGTGGCCTGTTAAGTATGTTAAAATTGGGCAGCAGTAGAGAATACCATTGAGCCTCTTCTCATTATTTTTATTGTTATTTCTTATGTAGTATATAATTATGACTTATGCACTCAGGTATATCTATTTGACAAAAAAATTACTGCTCAACGTTCAAAAGACGAAGACTTGTACCCAAATAAAATTCTTAGTTATTATCTAGTTTTAAGTATATAGGAGAGTACACAGCCTTTCTCACTTCAGACAGGCATGTGTGTTTGTGTGTGTTGCTAGTAATAAAACCAAGGACTTCACACATGCTTGGGAAGTGTTCCACGTCTAAAGTACATATCCAATGAAGATAAACACCTCTTAATTTGAAAATAAAACTATTTTGGAAATAGAATCCAACTAGAAAGTCTAAAGTCCTATTGCCCACCTAGCATCTGATCTTGATTTCTCTTAGGAAAACAAGTCCTAAAGAATAATACTAAGCCAGGTGCTGGTGGCTCACACCTGTAATCCTAGCGACTCAGGAGGCTGAGATCTGAGGATCATGTTTCAAAGCCAGCCTGGGCAGGAAAGTCCCTGAGACTCTTATCTCCAATAAACCACCAGAAAACTGGAAGTGGCACTGTAGCTCAAGTGGTAGAGCACTAGCCTTGAGCTGAAGAGCTGATGGACAGCACTCAGGTCCAGAGTTCAAGCCCCACAACAGACAAAAAAATAGTAATAATAATAATACTTAGGGAAATGACACTGTGGTTCAAGTAGTAAAGCTAGTGCTTTACTACTTGAAGGGACAGCTCCCAGGCCCAGAGTTCAAGCCCCACAACCAATTAAAAAAAGAAAAAAGAAGAATACTTAGGCTACTATCATCACAAAACTGAGGCATGCTAGAAACCCATGGCTTTCACCTGTAATTCTAGCTACTCAGGAAGTTGAGATCTGAGGATCATAGAAGCAAGAAACTCTTATCTCTAATTTACTACTAAAAAAAAGTTGAAAGTGAAGCTATGGCTCAAGTGATAAGAGTTCTAGCCTTGACAGAAAGCTAAGAGAGAGTGTCTAGGCCCTGAGTTCAAGCCTAGTACTAGCACAAAAAAAAAACAAAAACAAAAAACTGACATACATATTTTTCCAATTAATAAGTGTTGTTTCACCCTACCAAGGCTTAGGATACTAATGCATCAAGAGTTTCAGAAGTATTCCATCTAGTTTTAAATTTTAAAACATTTCAGAGCCGGGCACTGGTGGCTCACGCCTGTAATCCTAGCTACTCAGGAGGCTGAGATCTGAGGATCGCGGTTCAAAGCCAGCCCGGGCAGGAGAAACCGTGAGACTCCTATCTCCAATAAACCACCAGAAAACCGGAAGTGGCGCTGTAGCTCAAGTGGTAGAGCGCTCGCCTTGAGCTGAAGAGCTGAGGGACAGCGCCCAGGCCCAGAGTTCAAGCCCCACGACCGACAAAAAAAAAAAAAAAACAAACATTTCAGAGCTTCTTTACTCAAAACTACTATTTCTTCAATCACACAGCCACTTACCTGTGGTACAACATCTTGTAGAAAAGTAACAACACTTTCCATGTAGGACTGCTCTCTGGAAAAGAATGAAATGGAGAAGACTTGACATGAAAGCTTAAGACAGACCATGAAAAAGCTCTACTTACTAGCTTAATAAAGTCATTTATAGGGACTGGGAAGGTGACTGGGCAGTAGAGTGCTTGCCTCGCATGTATGAGGGCCTGGGTTCAATTCCTTGGCACCATATAAACTGAAAAGGCCAGAAGTGGCACTGTGGCTCAAGTGGTAGAATGCTAGCCTTGAGCTGAAGAGCTCAGGGACAGCGCCCAGGCCTAGCTAGAGTTCAAGCGCCATGACTGACAAAATAAATAAAGTCATTTATCATAACAAAATAAGAAAAAGGTCAACTTTTCCCCTTGATAATTCTTCTCCATCCTCTGGTTTCTTTGTAAATATGGTTAGTTGCAAATAGATTTTAACATTTCAAAATGTCTCTTTTTAAAAGGCATGCTATATGAGATGACAAGAAGACAAGGATAAGACAGGACCTTCCTTTTGACTCAGAGCTAAAGAATATCCTGGTTACACCAAGACTAACTTGCTGATAATTCACTTTAGTGACCTTCTGTTTACACTGGTTATGAATCTAGTCCCTTACCTGTATATAGCAATATGATATACATGTTGTTAAAAATTCATGCATTAGTGGGCTGGGAAGTTGGCTCAGTGGTAGAGCGCTTGCCTTGCATGCATGAGGCTCTGGGTTCGATTCCTCAGCACCACATAAGCAGGAAAAAAAAAAGCCGGAAGTGATGCTGTGGCTCAAGTGGTAGAGCGCTAGCCTTGAGCTGAAGAGCTGAGGGACAGCGCCCAGGCCCAGAGTTCAGGCCCACAACTGGACCCAAAACAAAAAAACAAAAAAAAATTTCATGCATTAGAATAAGTTTCTTAAAAAGTCCTCACAGAGCTGGACATAAAGGCATACACTTGTAATCCTAGCACTCAGGAGGTACAAGAGACAGACAGACAGAGACACACAGACAGAGACAAAGAGATAGAGGGAGAAAAGGAGAAAGGAAGGAAGGAGCTTTTGACAAAATTAAGACATGGGTCTTTTTAGTGCATAAAAGATAAAGGGAAGACAGCCCTGTCAAGTACACTAAATTGTTTTAGCTATAAGCTTATTTGGGACCTGGGGGATGTGCTGGGACAAAACCCAGGCTTCATACAATTCTGTGCTAGGTATTCTACCACTGAGCTACAAAGTACTCTTTCACTGAGGTACATCTCCAGCAGTAAAGGTATTTTAAACAAGTATATGAATGTAAACAAGAAGAGAAAAACAATTTCTTCAAACTACAAAAACAAGTTCATTTCAGAAAAGATGCAAAATGATACCTCAAGAAAATGAATTATCGTAAATCCTGTAAAAATCCTCTAAAAAAAATTGGGATATAGCCCAATGGTAGAATACTTGAGTAACATGCTTGAAGGCCCTGGGTCTGATGACCAGCATGAGTAGAAAAGAAAAAAACAATATAAGTAACTTTCAATACACCATGCTCTTCTTTGAATCCAGACCCTTACACTTCTTTCCTTCTGATATCTTCTAATAATACTTCTTTGAACTCAGGGCCTCAACTCAGGTCATCAAACTCTTGTTTAGCTTTTTCCCTGAAGTCTGATATTCCACCAGTTGAGCCACACCTTCACTGGTGTGGCTCCACCTTTGCTGGCTTATTGTTGGTGATAAGAGTCTCTTGGACTATTCTTCCTCAGCTAGCTTAGAGCAGTAGATCTTCTTCCTTCCTAGCTTTGATCCTAGATTTTCATATTTCAGTCTATGGAGTAGCTAATATACAGACGAGAGCCACAAAGCCTGGCTTACATTTAGTTTTTGTTATTATTATTTTGAGCAGGGTACATATATATTTTTTCATCTGAAAAAGCAATCTTATTGCAACAAGCTAAACTAAGGAAATAAAAAACTACAATTCGCCAGTGGATCATGCCTGTTAAATCCTAGCTACTCAGGAGGGTCTGAGGGTCACAGTTCAAAGCCAGCCCGGCAGTAAAGTCCATGAGACTTTTATCTCCAATTAACCACCGAAAACCTGAAGTGGAGCTTTGGCTCAATTGTACAGTGCTAGCTTTGAGCTGAAGAGCTCAGGGACAGCACCCAGGCCCAGAGTTCAAGCCCCACAACCAACCAAAAAAAAAAAAAAAAACAGGCTGGGAAGGTGGCTTAGTGGTAGTGTGCTTGCCTCCCATGCATGAGGACCTGGGTTGGATTACTCAGCACCACGTGAACAGAAAAAGCCAGAAGTGGCACTGTGGCTCAAGCCATAGAGAACTAGCCTTGAGCTGAAGAGCTGAGAGACAGAGTTCAAGCCCCACAACCAACAACAAAGAAAAAAAACTACAATTCTTCCTAAGAACATTTTAAAAGGTATTAAAAAGCCAGATGTAGTACTGCATTTTTGTAATCCCAGTATCCTATAATCCTAACACCCTAGAAAGGTGAGGCAGGAGGATCAAGAGTTAGAGACTAGCCTAGGCATAGCAGACTCCCTCAAAAAAAAAAAAAAAAAGATACAGAAAGTTTCTTTTCTTTAGTTTGGAACTGGAGGGTCACGCCTGTAATCCTAGTTACTGTGATGGCTGAGATGGCTGAAATTTGAAAATTTAGGCTCAAAGTTAGCCTGAGGAAGAAAAGTCCTAGAGTCTCTAATCACGGACAAAGTAGCCACACCTTTACAAGGTGTAGAATACTAGCCTTGAGGGAAAAAGCTAAGCAAGAGGTCAAAGGCACTGAGTTCAAACCTACACACACACACACACAAGCACCGAGTTCAAGCCTTCACACACTCACACACACACAGGCACACACACACACACACACACACACACACACACCCTACATTTAAATTTTTCCTACATCTGCTTATTCTAGTCTCTTAGCCTAAAATATACCCTGACTCAAAAAGCTAAGATTTTATTCTTCCTCTCAATAATAACTCTAAATGTTATCTTCTGAATTAAAATTTGTCTGACCCCACTAAGATAATTCCTCTAAATCGTCTGGCTTTTTTTTTTGGGGGGGGGGATCTGGTCATGGGGCCTGAACTCTGGGCCTGGCCACTGTCCCTCAGCTCTTCAGCTCAAGGCTAGCACTCTACCACTTGAGCCACAGCGCCACTTCCGGCTTTTTTCATTTTGCTTATGTGGTGCTGAGGAATCGAACCCAGGGCCTCAGGCATGCAAGGCAAGCGCTCTACCACTGAGCCACCTTCCCAGCCCCATCCTCTGGCTTTTTTTTTTACTGGTCACATGAATTTAATGCATGCATTTCTTTATGCCACATTGGATTATAAACTCATAGAAGATATGGATTTCCTTGTCTAAAATATAGATGTTTGCAAACATTCATATTGAGATTTACAGTAAGTGGTTTCTTTACAAGACACAGTAATCATACATAGGTATGAGTACTTCTCTGTGCATGTCACAAAACAACACTAACAAATACATTCCCTGTTTTATTTCATACATATATACTTCATGTGTGTTTTTGTAGTCCTGGAGATGAAACTTGGGGCCTCACATATGCCAGTCAAGTGCTCTACCACTGAACTATGTCCTCATTTCATTTTTTCAAAACTGACCCTGACCAACTACAGTGATTTAATGATCCACTGGTTTGGGAACCTGGAGTTTTATAAAACACTGCTATACAGTACTGGTCACAGCACCACTTACTCCCCACTCTATAGATATGCTGAATAGATGAATGTCACTCTCTGACAGCTCCTTTTGTTTGGCTCCAGCAATGAGTAGCACTTACCTTGTAAAGCCAAAATTTGTAATTTTTATAAAAGTAAGCAACTATTCGTTTTTGTAGCTTTTTTTTTCCCCCAGGGCTGAGGAACGAACCCAGGGCCTTGCAGGGGCCCTTCCCCTGGGCTAAACCCCCAGCCCCTAAGCAACTATTCAAAGGAAAAGAAAAACATTACAAAAACAAAAGACAAGGAATGTTGTTACAAGTAATTGTTCACTAATCTAAAATGTGCTTACGTGACAGCCTGAGGACGAACCACAACTCCACCAGTACTCCGACTGGGTCTTCTAGGGGAATCCGTGGCCATACCTTCATTCATTAAGCCTATTCCAAAAGCAAAAAGAGAAAAAAAAATAATTTTTGTTGCAGGAATTTGTTTCAAGATTACTCCATAGAGATTCCTTGTCAGAACTGTCTAAAAAGTAGGAAATATTCCCAGAAATTTTATTTAATCAGAAAGGCAAAAGGCAGAAGTAATTTGTTGAATTTTAAATTAAAAGTTTTACATAGAAACAGACCTCAGTGCTTGCCTTGCATGCATGAGGCCCTGGGTTCAATTCCTCAGCACCACATAAGCAGAAAAACTGCAAGTGGTGCTGTGACTCAAAGTGGTAGAGCGCTAGCCTTGAGCTGAAGAGCTGAGGGACAGTGCCCAGACCCAGAGTTCAGGCCCCAAGACCAACAAAGTAAAAGAAAAAGAAACAGACCTCAGAACCAAAAAAAAACAGATTAAGACTCTCCGAGGACTTTTCCTTCAGTTAACACAAAACTGGTAAGGTAAATCAAGATAGTGAGACCAAAAAACAGAAAAACAGAAGTGCTTAAGGGCACAGTGGGAACACCCTTAGTCTGAGCACTGGAAGGATCCACATGCAGGCTAGCATTGGCTGCATAGCCAGACCTCTGACTCAAAAAAGAATAAAAGTGCTATGCTAGTGAAGCGAAATTCTGTCAATGTAAATTTCATATTGAAATAATGAAAATATGTAAGATATATTCCAAGACAAAATGGAACAAGATTACTCCACCTTCCAATTATACCTGTTGAGAATCTAGGAATAATAAGACTGTATGGATGTATTTAAATCAAATTTTTAACCACTGGCTATAGTAACACAAGTGTGTAAACAAATCTGTAATATATACTCATGTGAGAAGCCTCTTGTTCCAATAGACTAACTAACCCTATTCTTGAGTGTGTAACAAGCCTCTGAATCACAGGGGCGGTTTTAAGAGCATGGAGTCTATTTGGTTAAGGTTAAAAGAGGACTGAGTGACAGCAATATTAGAACTATCTTGCAGGGCTTAGGAAAGCCCAAAGCTTGGGACTAATTTTAAAAGAACCTAAAAAAGCATCACTCCCAAAGTAAGGTGCATTCTATCATCTTATATGAAAACTCTCAAACTGTGGAGCCCCAGCTTCCACAACCCAAACACCCTCTGCCCCAATTATCCCTCCTACCTCTTTCCTTTGGGGGGTGAGGGGACCCTGCACCTCCAACCCCCCACCAAGCCCTCTTATTTCCATTCCACCTTTCTTTTCTTTTTTCCTTTCTTTTTTTTCTTTTTTTACACGAACCAGTCTCCCAGTCTCTATCCCTTCAGAGCCCCTCAGTCACCTGAGGACGAGAGTCGCCAGCCCCTCAGGGCCCGCTCTCCTGGAAGTCTCTCCCAGCGCTACCCATTTAACCTCCAGAGCACAGCCACCGCTGCCCCCGGCCGCCCCCGGCCGCCCTCTGGCCCCTTGCCCTTCTCCCCTCCCCCTCCAGTCTCGACATTGCTGCCCCGGCGAATTCCTGACAGCCAGACCTAGTCCCCTCACGCCTTCGGTCCCTCTTTCCCTCCTGACCTCCCCCCAACCCAAAGACACGCCAGCCCTCTCACCGGCCGCTCCGCCGGTAAACGCTGTTCTCCAGCTCTAGGGCTCACTGTTTGGAGTCTTCCCCCCCCCCCCCCTCAACCCTCGTGATTGACGGCTACTACTTCCTACCACGCCTCAGCGGAACTACCCCGCCAACCAATCCCAGGAGCAAACTCGCCAAGGCCGGGCACCGCCCTGGGAGGTCAGCTGCGCCAACCAGCAAGTAGAAAAAAGAGGGACCCGCCTCCTGAATTTGCCCAATCGGAGGGTGCTGAGGGGAAACACAACAGTCTGTAGGTTCGGGTGAAGCCGCTGTGTCAGGTTCGGTTGCGAACACAAACAGGTGAGGAGGAATTATGAGTATGTCTACTTTAGTGAAAGAAGCATTTTGTGGCTTTAAAAAATAATAGAACATGAAGCAATATGCTTCAAATTCGGGCTGACCTTACCCAGGTGTCTCAGACTAGCAGCCCGAAGCTAGAGCGCCTGGTCTGTTTACATCGAATTCTCGCGACAGCCGGTTCGAAGCTCAGAGCACGTGGACGTGGCAGCTGTCAATCACTTTTAACTGGCCATTCACCGATCTCGAACCCGCCTTCTGCCCCGCCCGTTGCAATGTGTTTACCTTCCGGGAGTCTACGCTTTCTGGCCTCGGAGATCATCTTTACGGACAAGTAGGCGTTGATCTGATTAATCAGGCTGGTAATCCTGACTCTTTCCTTACCTCAGTTTCCATCTTCCTTATATGTTTATATTTTTTCTTTTCTGTATCCCAGGCTGGCGTAGAAATTGTGTTCCTCTCTAGTTGGTTGATAACCGGCTGTGCCACCAAACCGGCCAACTCCCTTAAGGGAGATCCCCTTTGTCCTTTACTCAGGTAGGAGACTTTGATAAGACTATTTACTGATTTATTGAACACCGCAGGTTTTATTTCATATTCACTAGGTCGTATATATAATTTTATTTTACATTATATATATATATATATAAAATCACATTTCATAACTACAGCTCCATGTAGATAAGCAGTGTTTATAAAGGAATTAGCTGATAAAGCGGCAAACTAAAAAGCCTTAGCACAACAGAGTAGGGAAAAATTTAATAAAACTGCCCTCTCATGGAAAATATACAATTGGCTGAAGGTAAATTAGATATCGAGATAGTATGTACAAATAGCTGTTGCTTAAAACATCATGTACTTGCTTTAGATGCTGAATCTATATGCCAGTTAAGTTTCGGGTTGGGATACTGGGGTTGAACTGAGAGACTAGGGTGTGGTCTTTTAGCTGTTTTGCTCAAGGCTAGGTAGTACTCTTATCACTAGAGCCCAACTCTACTTCTAGGTTTTTGGTAATTGGAGATTAGAATCTCAAGGACTTTCTTTACTGGGCTGGCTTCAAACTGTGATCCTTAAATCTGAGTCTCACGACTAGCTAGGATCCCGGTGTGAGCCCAACCGGTTTGAACTACTCCATTTTCTTTTCCACAAAAATGGTGTAAGATTCTCCCATGACCCTTAAAAGAGGTACAAAACAAAACTGGTAGTTCTGTTTTTAAACAGAAGTAACTTGTGGGCACTTAGCACATAAATCACTAAGTATTGAAGCATAGGGAAACTCTTCCAACTAATTTTTCTTGATTTCGAGCTATCTCACTAGTAAACTCATTTTCACTGGGAAAAAAAAAGTAACTTTAAGTTACAAATTCTCTGCCTTTCTTACGTTACCATGAACCATTATAATAAACTACCAGTGAGTCAACTAGCCTCTATCCTGACCCTTGTAATTCCAGGATTTAGACTGAGGAAGGAAGTTGGAGGCCGCGTGGATGAGATGGGCAACATAGTAAGAAAGATACTGTCAGGGAGAAAAAAAATAAATATCCAGAGAAAAATCTGAATATGGGCTGGGAATGTGGCTTAGTGGTAGAGTGCTTGCCTAGCATGCATGAAGCCATGGGTTCGATTTTTCAGTACTAGTATTGGCACACAAACCAAATTTCAGGGTTTGTGTTTACTTTATATTTTGTAATGATTAGTATTATTTGGGGCTTTGTGTCTTCAAGCAACATCTTGCCTCACCACACCCAATAGCAAAAAGTGTAGCCTCAATAGCATCAAGATAATCTACTATCATACACAATTCTGATAAACATTAATATTTTTATTTTCAGTGAAGTAAGAAAAAGCCTGGTATACATCTGTTGTCCTAGTGTCTTGAGTAACTAAGGCTGGAGAGTAGTTAACAGTCCAAATATTCAGACCAGCCTGGACAACATAAATAAGACAACTGTTTGTAGGAAAAAGCCAGCACCAGAGAGCATGAACAGAAAAAGCCAGTACTCAAGGGCCTGAGTTGAAACCCCAGTACCGAGGGCGGGGGTGGGGAGGGAAGCAACTAAAAATATTTCTTATGAAAAACCAGTATTCCGTAACTTAAGATTGTCAACTTCTTTAAAAAAAAACCACTCTTTAAGCTAGGCATAAGTGGCTCATGCCTGTAATTCTAGCTACTCAGGAGGCTGAGATCTAACAATAAAGCATGGGCAGGAAAGTCCATGAGAGTCTTATCTCCAATATGCCACCAAAAACCCAGAAGTAGGGCTGGGAAGGTGGCTCAGTGGTAGAGCGCTTGCCTTGCATGCATTAGGCCCTGGGTTCCATTCCTCAGCACCACATAAGCAAAAAGAAAAAAGCCGGAAGTGGCGCTGTGGCTCAAGAGCGCTAGCCTTGAGCTGAAGAACTGAGGGACAGCGCCCAGGCCCAGAGTTCAGGCCCCACAACTGGACCAAAACAAAACAAAACAGAAGTAGAACAGTGACAATCGGTAGGGTTTAAGCTTGACCACAAAAGCTCAGGACAGCACCCAGGCCCTGAGTTAAAGTCCCAGGACCAGCACAAAAATACGTATTTCTGAAAAAAACAAAATAAAAATCAATGAAACCAGAACCAAGGTACATCTTGAACATGGAGCACTGGTGGCTCATGCCTGAATTCTTCTTTTTAATTTTTTTTTTTTGGGTCCGGTCGTGGGGCCTGAACTCTGGGTCTGGGTGCTGTCCCTCAGCTCTTCAGCTCAAGGCTAGCACTCTACCACTTGAGCCACAGCACCACTTCTGGCTTTTTTCTTATGTGGTGCTGAGGAATCGAACCCAGGGCCTCGAGCATGCAAGGCAAGTGCTCTACCACTGAACCACCTTCCCAGCCCGGCTCATGCCTGAATTCATATCTACTCACAAGTCTGAGCCCTGAGGATCACAGTTCAAAGCCATCCCAAGCAGGAAAGTCCATGAGACTCTTATCAACAGTTAATTACAAACAAAAAACAAATGGAGCAGTGGCCCAAGTGGTACACTGCTAGCCTTGGGCAAAAAAAAACTCAGGGATAGTGCCCTGGCCAAGTTCAAGCCCAAAGACTAGCAAAAAAAAAAAAAGCTAGGGGTAGAGCTCAATAGTAGAACATCTGCCGACCACGTGCAAGGCTCTGAATTCTATACTCAGCACATGCATATACAAATATTCAATACAAATTGCTAAATGATAAAAATCTGGAAAGCAGTGACAGAAAAATGTGACCTGTGTAAGAATAATTTAAATGACTACATTTCTCTTCAGAAGCCAAGAAGGATGTTGCATATTTTAGTGTTAAGGAAAAAAATAAAAGGAAGCTGGGCACCAGTGCCTCACCCCTGTAATCAAAGCCAGCTTAGGCAGGAAAGTCCATGAGACTCTTATCTCCAATAAACCATTCAGAAAACCGGAAGTGGTGCTGTGGCTCAAGTGGTAGAGTGCTTGCTTTGAGCTGAAGAGCTGAGGGACAGTGCCCAGGCCCAGAGTTCAAGCCCCATGACTTAAAAAAAAGAAAGAAAGAAAAGGAATAAATTGGAAATAAAGAAGAACAGTGGTATACACCTTAATAGAATAGATACATCAAGTTCCTTAAAATGTTTCATTATTGATAGCAAGCTGTATAACTGCTTGATTGGTTTTGAACATACAGTATATAGATGTAACTGTAACATAAAGACAGTACAGTGGTAAAGTTTCTGCAACTCACTTTAAGTGATAAAACATTAATTCTAAGTAGACTATAAAAGAATGTGAATTATAATCCCTAAGGTGACCAGCTACTTCAATATTGATTTTGCTTCAGTTTAAAATAAAGGCTAGGCCTAGCCTTACAGGGGTACACACTTGTAGTCCCAAGCACTTGGGAGGCTGAGGCAGGAGAATTGAGTTCCAGGCTAACCTGTGTGACACATGGAGTTCCAGGCCAACCTGGGCTATAGAATGAGACCCTGTTTCAAAAGACAAAAACAAACAAAAAGAAAGTTTTTAACTTTTGTTAGTGACATAGTATATTTAGGAATAAAATACACTAAAATGTTTTCATTACAGCTACTTCCCAGGTATATTTCATGATGAAAATAACATTGCTCATTAATACTGCTACAAAAACACAGCTAGTTAACACACATTTGAAAGCTTTGCGTAAGGGCTTGCTGGGACATAGCTTAGTGGTAGAGCATTTGCCTACCTCACAGGTTAAGGCTCTGGGTTTGGTACCCCAGCACCTCACACGTACACACATACAAAAAAAAATCTGAAAAATAAAGATTACATAATCCATTGTACTAATCAAATGGAAATTTAAACTTCATGTTTAGCAATATTTTATTTACAACCACGAGGATAAAAAGTGAAAAGTAGCTATGTGGATTTTAATATACATTCAGACTTGCTTGCTTGATACTTAATGCAGCTAGGATGGTATCATAGTTCTGCAAGATGAAAAAGCCCTTCATAAGGAATTCACTACAGAAGTATCTGTACTTCGTTTGTGTTTATCCTGGAAAGATAGGAAACACAAACTCTTCAATATCCAAAAATCCTCAAAAGACAATCATGAAGTTGGAGATGTAGCTCAGCAACACAGCACTTGCCCTGCATGCATGAGGTCCTGGGTTCAATCTCTAGCACTATAAAAAGTAAAATCAGGGCTGGAGGTGTGGCTCAAACTACAAGAGTGCCTGCCTAGCAAGCACAACTAGGCCCTGAGTTCAAACCCTAGTACTGTCAAAAAGACAAAAAAATA